ATTGTGTTGACCAGACCACACACTAGAAGGTGAAGGGACGACGACATTTCGGTCCGTCCTGGACCATTCTCAAGTCGATTGTGACTTGAAAATGAATCAAGTGAATCGACTTGAGAATGGTCCAGGACGGACCGAAACATCGTCGTCCCTTCACCTTCTAGTGTGTGGTCTGGTCAACATACTTCAGCCACGTTATTGTGACTCATCGCCTGCAGATTATGATGTGTATTACGCAGAAAAGACTAACTCTTACAGTCTTAAACTCCTCTAATTGCTGTATGTAATTTGTCCCAATTTGATTTCTCAACCATTTTTGAGTGATGTGGAACTACTTATTTCAAGGGTAGATTATATTATATAATGAGTTTGGGTGATTGTAAATAGAAGCTGCCTCGTATGGACCAAAAACAGCTGCCACCCGACCCTGTTTTCAACAGAGGTCATCAAGGGGTCAACAGGGGTCATCAGGGGGGTCATCAGGGGGGTCAACAGGGTGTCCACTGTAACAAAGTAGTTACCTTACAACCAAAAAGCCAACCATGCTGCCCCATGTGTAGCATATGCGAGCACATGATCTCTCTTTTGCACCCGTTGCTCCTCTATTGTGTGTGTGTGTGTGTGTGTGTGTGTGTGTGTGTGTGTGTGTGTGTGTGTGTGTGTGTGCAGATGAAAGTGATGAGGATGCTGTGTGATAGAATTATCTCTAATGATCACCGTCATGTGTGAGCTGAGCTGTTTGTTCCACTGGCGTTGTTGTGGCTGGTACTCTGCACAGTATCTGAGATTAGTTGGTCGGTTGATTGACTGGGTATGTGTGACAGAGAAAGAGAGAGAGGGAAGGGTAGGAGAAGGATAGGGAAAGGGAGGAGCCAGCCAGAGTCAAAACATATGTACCAACTGTACATATGTACACACAAGACACCTGACTTACTCGAGGGCTACACTCGACTCCATATGTGGCAACCACACACACATGACACAGCCTCGACCTTCACAATTGGTCGTAATGAGTGGCACAAGAGAGCAAGGCTGTGTGTGTGTGATGCTGTAGGATGAAGACGGGAAGCAAGGGGGAAGGATGCTGAAGATGCAACCCAGCGGGTTTTCTTCCTATTGGGGAGTGTTGTACATTCTGCTATGGCGGTGTGTCCACTCACAAGATGAGTGGCGCTGCCCAATACTGTCACTATGGCGGTGTGTCCACTCACAAGATGAGTGGCGCTGCCCAATACTGTCACTATGGCGGTGTCCACTCACAAGATGAGTGGCGCTGCCCAATAAACTCGCCCCTCGGGGCAAAATTTAAATTTAAAATCGATGTACTACCACTTCGCAAACTTCACGTGATATTCCGTTTTCTACATGTGAGTCCTCTGTTAGGTTAGGTTAGGTTAGTACGTCAATTTAGCGACGTTGTTGAACGCTAGAGGATTCTAACATTTTTCTCATATTGATTCGTTAGTCCATAATGGTCCGAATCAATGTGGTGTTTAGATCAGAGTGCAGAATGCCACCACCAACTGTCTGGTTGATCGATGGAAGACTATCATCCAAGCACGCACCAAAGAGCCAGAGCTCAACCCCCGCAAACACAACTAGGTGAGTACACAAGACTTCTTAACACCTCGCAGCTTTAGTTTCTCTAAATAACATGAACGAGCCACTACACCTCTACCTTAGCCAGCGCTCTTGATATACATACATACATACATATATACATACACATACATATACATATTTTCAGTCGCATATAGTCCTGGGGACCATTCAGGCTTGTTCGCAAACATACATATATAAATAAGGCAGTGATGTGGTGGAGGCTGACTCCATACACAGTTTCAAGTGTAGATATGATAGAGCCCAATAGGCTCAGGAACCTGTACACCTGTTGATTGACGGTTGAGAGGCGGGACCAAAGAGCCAGAGCTCAACCCCCGCAAGCACAACTAGGTGAATACAACTAGGTGAGTACACACACACACACACACACACACACACACACACACACACACACTGATCTCTAGCCGGAGAAGGAACTGTAGACGTTTATCTCTCAGAATGTTTGGTAATATGTTTATTGTTTGTGATGTGTGTCTATGTATGTATTAACACGATGTACTGAACGGGGTGAGAATAGCTTGAGCTACCTCATCCCTTTGTGTGTATTTTACCTCGATAAACTTATTTCAATTTCAATTTCCTAGACGGAGGAGAGAAACACGACCACTGCCCCACACACAACAAGGACCCTGAAGCTAAAATAAACATACCGAGCGAGAAGGTAGTGAGGCAGATGGATGCATTAGGAAAGGAAGCAGTTGAGGAAAATGTAATACAAGCCCGCGGGCGTTCTCAAGTCAACACACGAGTGCTTTAATAATTAAGACAGTACCCCCCCCCCCCTCCAGGGCAGTTCAACCCGCCCACACACTACATAAACAAGTGCGTTCCAGCCGCACGGGATCACCATAGCCCGTGCTACATGGACACTTCGTCCTGAGTAGCTAAATCTTTAACAACAACAGCCGCACAGACTCTGCTTGCACTCTCTGATTTCCTATATCCCTGGATCTTACTGTTAAAAGGTTGGAAATCAGAGTGTACTCTGAGTACCATCTCTCACACATCAAGAAACACTGCAGGAAGAAACGTGGACGTGCTTAAGAAACAATTAGACAATTTCTTGCAGGAATTAACAAAGTTGTAATGGATGTGTGAGCCTGCGGGCCGCTGATTGATTGATTGATGAAGATTAAGCCACCCAAAAGGTGGCACGGGCATGAATAGCCCGTAAGTGGTGGCCCTTTTGAGCCATCACCAGTATCAATAGATGATACTGGAGATCTGTGGAGGTGCGACTGCACCCTGCGTGACGGGAGATGTCTCCCGTGTTCGGGCCGCTCCAAACAACAATATTTTATATCAAGTAATTACAAGCCAATGGCTTGGGGAGTAGAACTCCCAGAACCCATTCCAGGTATACTGCTGGTATATCAGCATATTTTGTTGTGAAGAATATAGCCCCGACCATCCAGTTCTGGGTTTTGTCCTAGTTATTGTCTTTTCGGCTATATTTTTGGTCCTATATTGAAGTAGATACAAGTTCCTAAGAATGCGCACCATATTTCCTGTTGACCACTGGATGAACACTGTTGGTCTCTGAGCATTTTATCAAATGTACACTCACGCGCACCCCCCTCCCCCCCTGACACACACACACACACACACACACACACACACACACACACACACACACACACACACACACACACACACACACACACCTTATCACACGGGGAAGTGATGTGGTGGAGGCTGACTCCATACACAGTTTCAAGTGTTCCTGAGCCCAGTAAGCTCAGGAACCTGTACACCAGTTGACTGACGGTTGAGAGCCGGGACCAAAGAGCCAGAGCTCAACCCACGCAAACACAACAAGGTGAGTACAACTAGGCGAGGACACACGCACACCCGCAGTATATGCACTCCGCCTAATATGTTCTGAACCCTCCACTCCCCCCTACATAAGGTTGATTGCTCTATATATCGTTTACTCGCTGGCTCCCTCCCACTCCCTCCCATGCTACTCCCTCCATCAGTGGCAGGTGTGTTCACAGCCACCAGCAGCAGGTGTGGGCACACGTGTCGAGATGTGCTGTTGCTACTACACGTGTGTCGAGGTCACATCTATGGCTACACAACATCCAACATCTAAACATCATGTTCTCCAGTCCACGTCTTTTTAGGTTCACTTAGGAACCTGTCAAAGAATATGGGGTATGTGGAGCGCGCCAAAGGGCCACAGCGCGCCAAAGGGCCACGGCGCGCCAAAGGGCCACGGCGCGCCAAAGGGCCACGGCGCGCCAAAGGGCCACGGCGCGCCAAAGGGCCACGGCGCGCCAAAGGGCCACAGCGCGCCAAAGGGCCACAGCGCGCCAAACATCTTGTATTTACTTGTGGGGGGAGGAGGTCCTGGGGAGCTACACATGTGCCCCCCCCCCCCCCCGGGGTCGTCACCCCCACGCTGGGAGGGGGAGGGTCGTCCGGCCTGACACGAGTCTGCGACAACATAATATTGGCGAGAGAGAGAGAGAGAGCCATTTAAAAGGGCACAATAGTGAAAGTAGACGCCAGAGGAAAAAATGGGCAAATGGCCCCACACTCAGGTGAGTAGGTTAATGAGACCAGGTGCCAAGAGGAAGTATTAAAGGCAGTGGGTGTTGTGGAGTTACAGAGCACCGCTCCTGTGCCATTAAGTCCACCACGGGCTCACCATAGCCCGTGCTACTTGCCCCACTCCTGTGCCAGGTAAGTTACGGGCTCACCATAGCCCGTGCTACTAGGAACTTGTTCCGAGTAGCTGAATCTATAACAACAACATATGGAGTTAGACAGCTGCTACGGGCTGCTTCCTGGGGGATGTGTAACAAAAAGTAGACCTGGTCGAGGACCGGGCCGCGGGGACGCTAAGCCCCCGAAATCATCTCAAGATAACCTTCATCCATAACTCTAACGCCCATCCCGACAAAGAATTTGAAAGTTAAGAGTACTTGAAGTTGAAAAGCAACAGGTACAACAAGGCTAGTTGACGGGGCCTGAAGAGCCAGACCTCACTTGACCTGTAGACACTGATAGGCGAGTACCTCCCGACCCCCCCCCCCACACCAGGACACCTCTTTAGTGCCCCCTTACTCATTCCACACCTGCCTCCCCGACACACACCCACACCCTTGACACCTGCCTCCCCGACACACACCCACACCCTTGACACCTGCCGCGCCCCCACACACTCCCTTGACACCTGCAAACCCCCCACTCCCTCCCCCACTATCGACAACTGCCAAATCCCCCTCCCAAACACACTCCGTCGACTCGTCCAATGTATGACGGAGTTCCCAACATGGTAGAGTTATGAAGTTCACATTGGGTTTTCTCCCTGGCTGTAATAGGGTAGAAGGGACTGATAGACTCACAAGTCATCACTGAGCCCAAGTACTTACCATTGGCGGTCTGAGTGATGGAGGGGGCGATGTCTTTATTGTCAGGGGCGTCTTCAGGTGGGGCTCATCACACCGGGTCGCACCGTCCTCCCTGTAGGCAACATAACCCACATGTAAGCACATAGCGAGTAACACCTCTCACATACAAGGGCACTCACATGGAGTAACACCTCTCACATACAAGGGCACTCACATGGAGTAACACCTCTCACATACAAGGGCACTCACATGGAGTAACACCTCTCACATACAAGGGCACTCACATGGAGTAACACCTCTCACATACAAGGGCACTCACATGGAGTAACACCTCTCACATACAAGGGCACTCACATGGAGTAACACCTTTCACATACAAGGGCACTCACATGGAGTAACACCTCTCACATACAAGGTCACTCACACAGAGTAACGCCTCACACATACAAGGGCACTCACATGGAGTAACGCCTCTCACATACAAGGGCACTCACATGGAGTAACACCTCATACCTAATCCTTAATGTGTATAAGGTCTACTAGGGTTCTACTAGTACTAGGTCTACAGTACTAGATCTTAATGTGTGGGAACATTTTTTTAGTTAGTAGTTAGTAACTGTTGATTGACAGTTGAGAGGCGGGCCCAAGGAGCAGAGCTTAACCCCCGCAAGCACAACTAGGTGAATACCTCTAGGACAAGGGCACATGGACAGACCTTCACGCCACTGTTCAAATGAACGTTTGTGGTCTAAGTCTTGTGAGGAAATGAAATGATCTAGAGGGGAAAAAAGGATATTATTGATCTTATATTGATATTGGTCTTTAATTCAATAACTTGTTTCAAAAGCAGCAATAACAGGCAACAGGAGGGTGTGGAAACGGCCACAGCGCGCCAAACGGCCACAGCGCGCCAAACGGCCACAGCGCGCCAAACGGCCACAGCGCGCCAAACGGCACTTGACGACCGACAGCTGGTAATTCAGCTTTCAAGAGAGGAAAGCTTAACCACACAATTAAGCGAGGTTATCTTGAGGTTATCGTGAGATAATTTCGGGGGCTTCAGTGTCCCCGCGGCCCGGTTCTCGACCAGGCCTCCAACCCCAGGAAGCAGCCCGTGACAGCTGACTAACACCCAGGTACTTATTTTACTGCTAGATAACAGGGCCATAGGGTGAAAGAAACTCTGCCCATTGTTTCTCGCCGGCGCCTGGGATCGACTCCAGGACCACAGGATCACAAGTCCAGCGTGCTGTCTGCTCGGCCGACCGGCTCCCTAAGCGAGTACAAGTATTTATAACTGGTCTTATCAAACTAGGGTATCACTAGTGTTTACTAGTATTTATATACAGACGAGGAGTCACAATAACGTGGCCAAAGTATGTTGACCAGACCACACACTAGAAGGTGAAGGGACGACGACGTTTCAGTCCGTCCTGGACCATTCTCAAGTCAATTGTGAGAATTCTCAAGTCACAATCGACTTGAGAATGGTCCAGGACGGACCGAAACGTCGTCGTCCCTTCACCTTCTAGTGTGAGGTCTGGTCAACACTAGTATTTATATATTCTAACCTTTCTCTAGTACACAGATTCCTAACTTCTTTTCTCGATTATAGACCCCAAGTGAATGACCCAGTTTGTTCCAATATTCCCCTCACCAAAACAGTCCAGAAGACCACTATTATGCACCAGTATCTTATCTCGGGGTTATCTGGAGATGATTTCGGGGACTTAGCGTCCCCGCGACCCGGTCCTCGACCAGACCTCCTTTTTGTTACACCCCCTCCCCCCCCAGGAAGCAGCCTGTAGCAGCTGTCTAACTCCCATGTCCTATTTACTGCTAAGTGAACATGAGCATCATGGTGAAAGAGAAACTGCCCAATTGTTTCCGCCTCCAGCGGGGATTGAAACCAGAACCTTAGGACTACGAATCCCGAGTGCTGTCCACTCAGCCATCAGGGCCCCCTGGTTATAAAATAGCTCGCCGGAAAACTGGGACCGGGTTCCTCACACCTTTAAGGGGACCCTTAAACCCTTTAAGGGTTTAAGGGTCCCGCCTTAAGGAGGTTAGTGACGTCACTGATGACGTCTCACTACTCACCTACAAGCCCCCCCCCCCACCCGGCCGCACACGCACAGTATCACAACAACTTGATGGATCAATGAGAACATATTAAAGTCACAATGGCATCGAACCTGCGTCCTTGGACTCGCCACACACACACACAGTACATAATTATAATGAATACATATTATTAAGACGTATGTAATTACATTTTTTAATTACATAATTAATTTTGTAAACTCATTAATATAAATCATTTATGAAGTTGATTTTGAAATTGGCTCCCTGGTATGTAGGGGACAGGAAGACACAAAGCACCGCAGACACCATACAGTTGGTGGTGGTGGATCTGACACCATACACAGGTTGAAATGTAGATGTGACCCCCCCCCCCCCCCCAATTCGCCCACAAAGCTGTAAGCCAGTTGACGGACAATTGAGAGCCGGGCCCAAAGAGCCGGAGCTCGACCCACGCTAGCTCACTAGGGTCGCAAAAGGCTGTGGGATTCCCAACACCTGCGATACTGGGAACCATAAGTTGCAAGTAGCACGGGCTATGGTGAGCCCGTAGTGGACTACCTGACACAGGAGCGGGGCAAGTAGCAAGTAGCACGGGCTATGGTGAGCCCGTAGTGGACTTACCTGGCACAGGAGCGGGGCTGTAACTGTATGAGTGTTTGATTGATAAAGATTAAACCACACACAAAGAGGTGGCACGGGCATGAATAGCCCTTAAAGTGTTTAGTGCCTGTTTCAGATTGAGCTACTCAGAACGAAATGTCCATGTAGCACGGGCTATGGTGAGCCTGTAACAGTGTTTGGTGTGATTGATTGATTGATGAAGATTAAGCCACCCAAAAGGTGGCACGGGCATGAATAGCCCGTAAGTGGTGGCCCTTTTGAGCCATTACCAGTATCAAGAGCTGATACTGGAGATCTGTGGAGGTGCGGCTGCACCCTGCGTGACGGGAGATGTCTCCTTTGTGACTGTGTTAAGATGAAGATGAAGCCATGTTTGGTGTCTCCTGCGAGTATTTATATACGTGACGCCCCCCTGCCGGCGGGGTGCAGGGGGGGGGAGGACATACACGGTACACGTGGGAGATAGAGGTAGGGGAGGAGGGGGGGGGGTGAGATATAAAAGGGGGAGGGAGAGAAACAGATGGGGGCAGAGATAGAAGAGTAGGGTATAAATCGCGATAGGTCAAAACATATCCACCACAGACACGTGACGTTCGCTATATCAACATATCTATAACCTACATCTACTTATAGATACATTTTACAAATATTGACAGATACATCGCTTTACCCTCAATCCCAGGTCTTTGACCTAACCCCCGGTCGGCCGAGCGGACAGCACACTGGACTTGTGATCCTGTGGTCCTGGGTTCGATCCCAGGCGCCGGCGAGAAACAATGGGCAAAGTTTCACCCTATGCCCCTGTTACCTAGCAGTAAATAGGTACCTGGGTGTTAGTCAGCTGTCACGGGCTGCTTCCCGGGGTGGAGGCCTGGTCGAGGACCGGGCCGCGGGGACACTAAAGCCCCGAAATCATCTCAAGATAACCCCCCCCCCTTCCCTCCTTCCACCTCCCGCAATGGTCTATAAAAAGCCTGCTCATGCCCCAAAAGGACTACAGGACACATCGCTAGGATAAAGGACCTCTTTTTAAGGCCCAATTCTAAGTTTATTCTAAGCGCTACCCATTAATTTGTATTTTTTTAAATATATAAAATAAGAAAGAGAGGGGTAGAACAAAAGAACATGGAACCTGCATTAGGGGGGGACTTTAAAATTCCCTGTAATGCTACGTGTGTTCCCTTCTAAGCTGATTAGCGTGGGCGCTTGAGTAGGAAAAGGAAATGAGCTAGACCAGGAAATAACAGAAGTATATTCGAACAACAATTTTGAGAATAGATAAGATAGTGAGTGCAGGAGTTGTTTATATGTGTACTCGCCTAATTGTGTGCTTGCGGGGGTTGAGCTGTGGCTCTTTGGTCCCGCCTCTCAACTGTCAATCAACTGGTGTACAGGTTCCCGAGCCTACTGGGCTCTATCATATCTACACTTGAAACTGTGTATGGAGTCACCCTCCACCACATTACTTCCTAATGCATTCCATTTATTAACTACTCTGACACTGAAAAAATTCTTTCTTTCTGAGAAAAAGACTGAAAAAAATTCTTTGTGTGGTTGGCATATGTGCGGGGTTGGCATATGTGCGGGGTTGGCATATGTGCGGGGTTGGCATATGTGCGGGGCTGGCATATGTGCGGGGCTGGCATATGTGCGGGGCTGGCATATGTGCGGGGCTGGCATATGTGCGGGGCTGGCATATGTGCGGGGCTGGCATATGTGCGGGGTTGGCATATGTGCGGGGTTGGCATATGTGCGGGGCTGGCATATGTGCGGGGCTGGCATATGTGCGGGGCTGGCATATGTGCGGGGCTGGCATATGTGCGGGGCTGGCATATGTGCGGGGCTGGCATATGTGCGGGGCTGGCATATGTGCGGGGCTGGCATATGTGCGGGGCTGGCATATGTGCGGGGCTGGCATATGTGCGGGGCTGGCATATGTGCGGGGCTGGCATATGTGCGGGGCTGGCATATGTGCGGGGCTGGCATATGTGCGGGGCTGGCATATGTGCGGGGCTGGCATATGTGCGGGGCTGTCATATGTGCGGGGCTGTCATATGTGCGGGGCTGGCATATGTGCGGGGCTGGCATATGTGCGGGGCTGGCATATGTGCGGGGCTGGCATATGTGCGGGGCTGGCATATGTGCGGGGCTGGCATATGTGCGGGGTTGGTGCTCCATCTTGCGACAATATCGACCAGAGTGCAGGGGAAAATGTAGAGTGTGAGCGTTGGAAAGCCGCAACATGTCCCCTTGTAAGGAACCGGTTCCCTGGCCTATTACCAACTGCTCTTCTCGCCAGAGCTCTGTGAAATCTGCAAACCATCACAGGTGGCTTGAACGGCCACGAAGCTGACGAAGCCACCATATAGACCGTTTTGTTACCCCCCCTCCCCCCCAGGAAGCAGC